TGATAAAATAAAATTATTGTAAAACTGTAAGTTGTGTGTACCTAAATATATTTTTTAAAATTGTTCTTTTAACATATTTATTTTAATACCCAACTTGATGTGTTTTTTAATTACACTATGGAATCCGCAATTTTATTTTATCATTAAATTAAATTCGTCAAGACAAATCAACCAATAGGTATACTATCTGAGAAAATTGTGATATCCATTAAAATTCTAATACCTACATCATGTTTCCTTACAAAGTGTGAGCTATATGGATCGGATTTTAAAAATTGTCTGGGCAATTACTTCTAAATAACGTTTTATATATTTATAGGGGTTGAGTTTCCAAAAAAATCTTCTTTTATTGGTAAATCTACTGTCTAAATTTTACTTTTTCAGTGACTTGACATTTCAGGACATGCAGCAGCGGATTAAATATATTAATAGCTTTCAATGTCATTATACCAATCGTAATTATTTATTTAAATGGGATCACCATTTTTCAAAAGTGTCAACTTTGAAATTGTTTTAAATACAAATTAAATTGAATTTCCACAAACTTTTATTATATTGATCATTGTTTTATATTTGGAAAAAAAAACAAATTAATGAACAAAATAATTAATTTAAACAATTAAAAAACGATTCTAATTACGCATTACATCTAATCCCGGCTTAAAAATGAGGTTAATCTTCTGGAAAATATGGAAATAAAGTACAAAAATGATCCATTCAATGATAAACGGAAATAAATAATTCTCCACTGCTAAACCTCATCCCTTCATCCCAACTCTACTTTAATCACTTTAATACAGGTACTGATATAAACAGAAGTACGTAGCATCCAGTAGGTTTAAGAGCGAGTGTATTACATTTTCCGAAGAAGCCACAAAGTAGCGAAACGATCGTCAAGATAATATAAAGGAAGTTTAATTAGTTTTTTACTTATGTAGAATCAACTAATCATATTGAAGAAGTTCTACAAATTACTGTTAAAAATAAAATAATAACTTAATTTGAGCCACCTATCAATTCTAATTTTTCATTATTAGTAGTAGTTGTAAGAGTAATGTGTTTGAGTATACTTGGCTGTAATAGTGCGCATCAAACAACAAAAGATAAAAAATGAATGCTATTAAAGTAATTTAATAAAAAATGATGATGCTGAGAAAGATGAAGAGGCTGCTGCGTCTTTATCATTCGAGAACAGAAAATTTTGTTTGTTAAAGGAATTCATAGACACGACGACTTGCGTCAACAGTCGAGGAACGTAATAAATAAAATAATAAAATTATTCATAATATTGCCGCCTGATAAATTCAATA